TGTTTAAAGTTTTACCGAAATGAAAACAAGTTCTAGGAAAATTATGGGTGTTAATCTAAAGCTGCTTAACACTTTCTCTGCCTGTGGCAGAATGCGGAACGCACATGACTGAAAAATTTCAGTCAATGTCCGTTCTCGTGGACACACGCATCCCCAAGCATGGTCCAGGCTTGCACGGAGATGGCTGATTTTATCGATTCACTATCATTAGAATGGTTTCCAAGAAAGGCTATAGAATCCAGTGTGTCTTTCTATCTAACTAACACATATCTTGCGAAAGGAATAGATGTATTCATATCTTTAGCAAGAGTATTTGTGAGTTAGTGGTTGTAACGAATTCGACTGGAATTCGAACACGGCTGCTCCGAATTCTCATTCCGGGACTTAAACCATTGCATCGCAGGAAGTTCCACAATAAATCAGCAAATATCTCGACAAGCGTGTTGTTAATTGCATTCCTATTCTAATCCTTAACATTACCGGAATGCCATCCTCTAACATATTAAGAGACCGACTAAAAGACTATATGTTCTAAAAAAATTACTAACCGCAACGGATGTTGTAAGTGACTAATAAACAAAGTGGATTGATGTTTTATAACGAGTTCTGTACATTTTACGATAATTTTATATCAAAATTGTTATTTTTTTTAAATTTTGCAATCCTCTATCAATATATTATTGCATATATGAACAGTAATGCGTTTGATATGCCGAATTAAACAAGGATATGATTGTATAAAAGGCTGCTTAGACTAAATAGCATGAAAGGAGCATGTATGCAACGTAGATGTTTTATGGTGTTATTGGACCTTACCCACAATAACATAATAGACTATTCCATACGTAATAAATTCAAGCGCCTCAAGAGGAAACAGGGAGTTCAGTCTGAAGTCTGGAGTGAGAACCGTCAGGAGTCTGTCAGTCGAGTCAGAGGCAGTTCGAAACCGAGTCGTGTTCAGACAATTACGACTAAACCTGATTGTTCGTACTAACACTTTCTACTTCTCTGTATATATTCCTGTTTGTAATATATCGGTGTTATTCCATATCCGTGTTCGAGTTCTTCTTTATTGGTTCTACCTTGACTATTACCGTGGTACAAGGAACCGGACCATAACATATGGGAAATGGGTAAAAAAAGATGTAATCAAAATTCGAATAAGAAAGAGACAACTGAACTATTTGCGATGCATCATGACAGAAGAGGGCTTTGGGAATTCAATACTCACATATTAGACACATTGAAAGCAAGGAATGACAGAGAAAAGCAAAATATAAGCTACGTAACTAGCTTGTGCGAAATGTTGGCAGAACAGGATTTTGTAAAGTTAATATGTGGACAAAAATTACTAAGTGCTACAAAAGGTAAGAAGTTGTGAAAAAGAACCAATACAAAACATAAAACTCATAATACCTATCATCCCTAAACAGAAATGGAGGCCCGGTGGAGCAATGTATAGAGGCTTGGATTGAGGAATCGGAGAGCCGAGTTCGAATTCCAGTCGAATCCATTGCATTCACTTACGTGCTAACACCCTTGGGAAAGGTGTGAATCCTTTTCTTCTCCCTCCAGCTATGGGTAAATAGCAGGACAGACTGCGTTCTATAGCCTTGGATGGCAACTGGTCTAGGAGCAGGTTTGATTTCAGAGTTTTCCATCTAAACCTGCTCTTAGAGGAGGGTCAATGGAGTCTCTCTGGGCCTTGGTTGGCAATCAATTTAGGGTTGGTGTCACGATAAAAACACCCTTGATAGCCCTAGCGAAGCATCAAGAGTTCAGCTATTTGACAAGATTATGAACTACACCTATCAAAGTATGAGTGAGTTCAATCTCGCCTGAGGCCGCAAGATGATGAAACAGAAATGTTGTGGATTCCGGGATGAAATCCGGCACCAATAAATAAGAAACGTCAAGAAGGAATATAGGAAAAATAAATGTATTAATGTAATAATACAAACTGGTAATGCAGGTTAGTAGTTCCGGGAATGCGGGTTAGTAGCAAAATATATATACAGTCTTTCGTATCGACGTATCACTGTATGATTTCTTACTGAGTCTACGTGCTTGCTCACTGTGACTCTTGCTCGATACGTTCGTGCTGGTTCGTTCTTCTCCCGGGTATTCATTAGCAGTAGTATATGTATACCCTGGGTGAGTATATTTGTGTAAAAAGGGGAGAAACCCTCAACAAGAAATACAATAAAAGTGGATTATATGAGATGTGAATAGTAATTGACTGGTGATATTTGGATTTCGGATTATTAAAACGATGCCCCCCACACACACTCGGTGATCTATAATCATCTCAGTGGCTGCCTTATACACGCAAAGAGTTGCACAGACATTTTTCAGCAGTTTTAATTGAAAATTCAAAAGTTCAAAAATGAAAGTTTAACGTCTGTTGTATAATCAATGTTGACTCATTTAAAGTACACATGAACTTTGGAAAAGAGTCATTAGTGGTTTACAGATAAGAAATTGTCTGAAAAAAAAACTGTCTAATAAAGATGAGAAGAAACGAAATCATTTCCTCCAAATCAACCTTCTGGAAATGATTGCGCTATGGAAATTTTAAAAATAATTCACACTGAAAAGGAAACTCGCAGATTAGGAAAGAATTGTCATCACTTTCAAATTTTGCAGTTAAAATGGCTTCATGTAACCGTAAGTTCTATGCTAACATATTCTTTTATCGTAATTCTTTTTTGTGAAAACCTGTAATGTCATAGGTCCTGAACTGGTATATCATTCACTTTCTTATAGTGCTAACGGAGATTATCCGTGCCTTTTCTATAAATATATTCATGTTAATTCTTCTGGTGAGGTTTCCGATTAAGTACCTCGATTTTACGACCCGGAGCACAGTACCAGATTGGTAGAAAGGCCATATAATATTTACAGTAGTACTAAACATTTATGGAAAATTATAAACAAAAAAAAATCTCTATCTATAAAAGGCAGGATATGTGTGTATCTGTGTAACGAATGCACGGCCCCAATTTTCGACTGATTTGCACTAACATTTACATGCACATGCTCCAAGTTAGCGGGACGGCCAATACCGATTTTGCATTTCCCAACTCCCATCGATAGTGGAAATAATCGGTTTTTCATGCTTCTACGACAGTTTTCATGTAGTTTGCGGCCATTTTGTACTGGCCAGAGTGAGAGCCAATAGCTGGCTGCCACGAATAGGCAGGGAGATTCTGTTGAACAGCGTGAGAGTAAACAGCTGATTGACACGAATATTAACTAGCTGGCTAGCATGCAAAATTATCGATAGCTGCATTCGTCACAAGTGGGAAAAATTTAAATCTGCATGGCACTTTACTCCAAGTGGCTCATTCGCTTGCTTAAATTCAACGTTGATTCTGATTCCGTAGAACTGGGTTCGGTGTGAAAAAGTAATTATTGTTAACATTCTTTTTCATTCAGTTTTTCCAGTTACGAGTCCTTTTTTAAAGCTGATCGTTTTGTGTTCATTTTGTTTAGATCTTTTTTCGTAACAGATTTAATGTTTAGTATAGAGCTTAGAAAATATTCGCAGTGTGAGATAGGCAAGAAGTAAGGCATGTAGCAACATCAGCGCGGCAAAGGGCACTACTTTAAAGGCAAGGAAGGGCAAAATATTTTAAGTCAAGTGATAGCGATTGCTATATGAGTCGTACGATTTTTGAATCAAGCACGGGCAAAACCGGGCCGTGCTGCTAGTAAGATATATGAAAAATAACATGGCAAATAAGGAAACTACATCAGACTACAACAACTCAGTCTGCATCATAAATTAACTATAATCGCTTTCCCAGACCAAAAGAGATTACTAAATAAAAAATCAGGAAATATCGCAAAATGCTGACTCAAAAACAAATTGTTACTACGTTACTTTACTGTTTCAGCCTTGATCAACTTTTTACCGGTGGTTGAGAAAAAGGACTTAATGCCCAGCCATCGGTTGAACGGTGGGTAAAAAATTGCGTCTTGTTTTGCTATTGGCTTTCTTATTTGAGTACACTGGGAAACAAAGAAAGAATTCTGGCGATAAAGTGAAGGCATGCAATCACACTCTCTCCCTCCTAAGAAGGATTTGTTGTAACTATTGTTATATATACCGGGAAACATTACATACCAATTATTTGTCAAATTTGTCCCAGGTATTCAAGCATAAAGTTTAAAATTGTTCAACAACATAGGACTCAAAGGGTTAAAAATCGAAAACTAAATACGAACTCCTTGTAAAATATCATCATAAAAATGCAAATATATAAACTATATATACAAAACATATAATTTATAATACGTTAGACTACGACAATACCTTAAACAAAACACATAAGATATTCAACACCTGAATACAAAATTATAAAAAGAAAATAAAGAAAAATCTCAATACATAAAATACAGTAAATAATAAACAAAATATAAAGTAAGAATGTTCCTATAAAGACAAGTAAATGTAATGATAATAAACAACAACAAGTAATTAAGTAATCAATAATACATAATGAGTAATGTGTTAACAAACAACATTATAAAGTAGCAACAAAATAAACGTATTCGGATACACAATTACTTCTACACAACAGCCTATATAATACTTTAAAATATAACCGTTACCACTTAGCCATTTATAACCGTTATATAATACAATAGACCTTGCTACACATAATGCACCATTAGTAAGAATATATAACTAGTCGAGAAAGGACCCAAGACACAGGAAGTAAAGTTAGAGTTCAAGCATAAAACAGTTTGTCCTCGACAGGATTTGATCTCAGGCTTCACTTTCATATCTGTATATTTGCATACGGTCTATACTGAAGTAAAAGCCTGATCGCCTAGTGTGGTTTATTTTTGTATGGCCTTGTGTCAAACTACCAGACTTGCACGTACAAGCGTAGTTGATACTTTTTTAGGATATCAACGGTTTTTGATAAAGTTAGCAACGGTAGAAAATGGAAAAACACTAATGGTGTATGAAAGGCATAACAAATATAAGTTTATTTAATAACAAATTGACAGTATGAAGGAGGAAAGAATGCGGTGTCGCGTTCCTGGCTTCTGGGTAGTAGGTTTGACGAATCTGTGAAGCGTGCGATTGATGTTGAATGCGCGCCAAATTTTAATGGTTGTCGCCAAATGTACCTGAAGAGGAAAGGATCCGGAGAAAAGAAGACCTATCAATGGAGACATAGAAACAGATTAACACCGTAGGTTATGAAACTCTAACATGAGTTCGACCAGGATAGAATCACAGTGTATAAGTTGCAAGAGAAATGTTCATCAGCATAGGATAAGGTATAAACCAAGGGAAAGATCCAGAAAATACAAGTACCACGTGTGGAGGGTCGTGGGTACTTAACTTACTTGTTGCTTTGGATGAGAGGTAGGTTCCGCTAAATACTGTGGCAACCGTTGTTTAAAAGATGCTTGGTTGCCTGCCGTTGATGAGTTAACGGTAAGAGAACGGTTAAGTGTTGATAGAAAAAGGAATTATCTTACGTGCGACGATACATCAACGGACATGGGTGTAAGTACATAGAACTTGGACTTTCGCACTTGCTGTAGTTGACAAGTGGAGATTCTGGAAGAGTTCGTGCCAAACGCTTGTTGCTTTTTTTTTAAGAGAATCTCGTATTATGTAGGAAAATAAGAAAGGTTGGGATAGGATCGAGTCAAGGACGGTGAAGGTAGCTTCAGGTAAAGAAGATGACTATAAAAACTCTATTACCGGTCCAGGTGTTTGAGCCGTATGGTGAAGAGAGAGACGGGAAACGCGTCTTGTCGACTCGATGCCTGGAGACCGTCTGTCCGCACGTGAATACCAGTTGGCCGGGATACGATAGTTCACGACCTTTGACTGGCGACAAATGCCAACCGTAAAGCTACTCTGAATGGGTGTCCATTCAAAACAGTCACATCACTTAACGTTAAAATCGTTGTTCAAAGATTAGCAACTACGATTAAGAAAAGTGAACGAGAAATATTTTGAGGTAACCGTTGACGGAAGGATGTGTGTGCCGATAATAACTGATATTAAGCACTTTTACCCACAAATATAGAATGCCTTAAACTATATTTTTTTTATTATATCATATATTAGCAATAGAGCCCGGCGTTGCCGGGGATGTAACAGTAAGAGATAGATCAAGTATCGACCATCATAAAGACTGAAAAATAAAATTGACAAAGATTATTGCTTAAGGTTGACGGACACGCGTCTTAATTATTATTTTTTTTTTTATATAAATTGGTCAAGCCCAAACTCAAACAAAAACATTGTTTTCAATCGTTACGAGTCTACTGATTGAAGAGAATTTTATTATAAACAATTATCTTGTAAATGGAATTTTTAAAGCCTTCTGAATGTAAAAATAAAGAAAAAAGTGGGCAAGACAATAAGAAACACTACCTGCCAAAAAAAAATTAAGTTTTGTTGAAATCAAGATGAAAAATGTAGGAAATCCGATCCCATATATAAACGAACACACACACACACACATACACACACAAAACCTCGGTTTTATAAGTATAACTCGATATGAGTTGTCCCCCTTTCATTATGGCGACAGTGATGCCTCTTAATTGTGTTTTCAAATTGATTTCGTGCAAAAACAATTGTGTTTTCCCATTTTGGCGCTGTCAGAACCACCGCAAGGTAATTTTACGTAGTCCTGTGAAGTTTTATTTGAAATCGGTTGAAAATGTAGGAAATCGATCCAATATATAAACGAACAGACACACAACGTGGGTTTTATAATAAGTATGATATACACCAAAAAATTGTCCTGGACAGCGAAGATGAAACATATATAAAATCTATAAAAATACAGGAGCCTTGGTATATCTTAATTTCCTATTTAGATTGAATGGGAAATGCTCTCCTCTGTGCTCAGTAAAGACGTCGCTGAATCTCGCATTCGTCCCTGGCCCTGAGCTTCACAGCAAGCGCTCATGAGACATCAGAAAATTCATCGATTGAAAAGGGAGATAATAACCTTCTGCATTGCAACAAATGAATAATGGTGATATTACGAAGCACCCACTATCAGTCTTCAGTAATCAATTCACTTACGATAACCTGTTTGGTTGAATGTCGCCGTAGACGAATATGCAAGATGATAGATCCTTATCTGGTATCTAGTCTACAATCGGTATCCCACAGACGTTCCGTGGCCTCTCTCTGTCTCTTCTACAAGTATTTTCACAGCAACTGTTCCGAAGAGTTACTTTCGCTGGTTCCCGGACTACATGAATTTAAGCTGGCATCTCAGTCCCACTCTTTCAGTGTCAAAACGGTTAAATGTAACCGTCGCTTCTACTCAAACAGCTTCTTCTCCCGTCTGTGGAACTCCATTCCTTTTACTTGGTTCCCCGGTGAATATAATCTTCAAATATTCATCTGACACGTATCTGTATCCTTTCCTCAAACACGCCTCTTTACTCTTGTTCTCATTCCTCTGTAACCCTTGCCTGCTAGCGGTACTCCCGCCTTCCATGGGGTGAATTTCATAAAAAAACTATCTATATATTTACAGGCACACACACACGTAAACACACACACATAAAAACACACACACACACACATATATATATATATATATATATATATATATATATATATATATGTATTATCAGCAAAAAACATACAGGTACATTCACAGTTTTGTCTAGAGCGAAATTTGTGTTAGACCACTGTGTATTTCTCACGCCATCATTGATCAGTACTCAAATACGTCACAAAACAGTAATCGAAAGGCAGATTTTCAAGAGAAATAACTCTTTTGTATAAAGACACCACAAAACGTCATTAGCTCGTAAATATGTTATGTAAAATTTGCTATAATTCCCGTATTATTTGTATGAGTATGTTCTTAAGTAATAGCTTAGTAAATATCGGATGTTGACATTGCCAGTTACATTTTTTTATTTTCATTTCTCGGCAAAAGAATAATATTTTCTTTTGCATTTTGAAAAATGATATTAGACACAATCCTATGACCCCGACAATCTCGCTGTAACCGATTTTCTGTTAACGTCACATATTTTTCTGTTAATGAAATCAAACACTTATTGTTCTTTATTCTGAAATGGATATTTTGCATTAATCAAATTTATTGTTAATTTCGTAACGGTTTTGCTGACCCATTTTCCTCTTTACTCTCCGAGTTTCATCTTGAAAACATCCGACTTAATTATAATGGAGCTTCCTTTCAAATGTGCATTGACCTTTGCGCCGTTTTTTTTTTTATGGGTAAAATAGAGTGAAATTTCGGTCTGGTTAGTTTGACCTGATGGCATCGGTAGAAGATGTTTACTGGCAGGGAGGGTTGTGTAGGAAACAGTTGGGGTGCTGGGAGGAGAAGATTGAGTGACAGGAGAGAGTAAAAGAGAGACATTTGTCGTAGAGATATTGAACAGTGTAAAGAATAAAGCTTGAAGAGAATGTCAGCGATAAATTGAATTGATACATAAACGAGGAAAGAAGTGAAGACAATTAACCGAAAGGTGTGAAGAAGGGGGGGTAGATGAAAGCTGGCATTGAAATGAAAATTGGCAACATCTTTGAAAAATAAAAGCTTTCAAATTAAAGTAAAAAAAATCTAAATACTTAAAGGAAATAAATTAAAAGAAACGTTTTTTAAATAATTTTTGCAAATTGAAAACTTAAAAATGAGCAAAATCGAAATGAAAGAAACCTTATAAAACTAAAAATATGGAGAAAAAAATAATCGCTTTTTACATATCAGAAAAAGAAAAGAAAAAATGTAAACAAGAAATAAAGGAACATACAGAATTCAAAGATGAGAGCAAGAAAAATAAGAATACTTTGAAAATTATAAATAAATAAAATCAAGTATGGAAGTAAAGAGGATAGTGAAGTAAGAAGAAAGAATTAAAATGAAGAAAACATGAAAAAATCAAAGAGAGAAAACTATTGAATAATAGAAAGAAAATGGAGGAAGAAGATAAAAGAGAACAAAGGCAGAGCATGGCTTCCAAAACAGAAAAGAAAAAAGTTGTGAATTATTTTTTTATGCGACATGTTATCAGTAGTCAAGCCTGTCTCTTAGTTAACTATACACTGTTTATCTAATCTCATGCAAATACACTTATATCTAGTACACTTATACACATATAACTATTCTATTTCTCATGCTAATATTTACAATCCTATTTGCCAATCCACTATACAAAGAATGAAAAGATAAGCGTAGAATAAAAAGAAAGATAAATAAGAAAGAAAGAAAAAATAAAGAAAATATGAAAGTAAAAACGAAATCAAAGAAAAAAAACAAATAAAGAAAAAAGAAGACGAGTAAAAAATACTGGAAAGAAAGAGTGAATGAAAATAAGAAAAAAATACAATTAAACATTTGACAATATAATAAAACAAATTTCCAAAATAGCAGAAATTCAGACTCTGTAAAAATTTACCAGATCGCCCATAGAAGAATCGTAATTCTCTAAGTGATGTTTAGATGTGGCACAAAACCGTAAGTATGGAGCATTCAGTGAAGATCGTATTTACCATTCAGTCGCATTTGTTCTAGCGAGATTTGCTAACCATTTCACCACGTCGAAATGCCCAGCAAAATATAAGAATAATTTACTAAGTGTAGCTTGAATATAGCAAAAAGGCCGTAAAACAACGGCAACAGTCGCGGATCGATCTTACTACGGAGTCAAAACAGCTCTAGCGAGACGAAGTAGCTAACATTTACACCAAGTCGAAATAACCTTATTTCTTTAGCGTAGCTTACATTTATCAAAACACCGCAAGCACGAAGCACCCAGTGGGGAAATTACTCTATACTAATTCATACCTAACCTAACGAGACATGTTAGCTAACCATTTCACGATATTGAAATGGCTAAGCAATATATAAGATCCAATAGTTAAAAGATTATTTAATCTTTATTTCCTTCTTACGTTTTTTTTCCCTTTTTCTAAGCGAGCAGAAGTATTACTCATCGAAAATGTTTAAATGGTAATTAT